TTATAGAAATTTTTTTAAAAATTCTCTTTTTCATAGAAAATTTTTGAAAATTCTCTTGTTTATAGAAAATTTTTTCTTTTTATATGAAATTGTTGAAAATTTTCTCTTTTTATACGAAATTTTTTAAATTTTCTCTTTAATACTTTCGAAAATTTAACTATTTATAAAAAATTTTCGAAAATTTCTCTAAAAATTGTATGTTTATATAGGAAATTTTCGAAAACTTTTTTTATATCAAATTTTCTAAATTTTACATTTTTATAGGAAATTTCTCCTTAAATATAAAATTTGTCTTTTTATTTCTATATCAAATGTTCGAAAATCTCTCTTTTTTATAGAAAATTTTCGAAAATTAATTTTATGTATATTACAATTTTTATAAAAAATTTCTAAAATTCTGTTTTTTCATTGAACCAGTTGAAGAAGTTTCGACGAGAGTATATTGGGAAAATTCTATTCTTTATAAAAGTTTTCAAAATTTTCTCTTTATAAAATTTTTTGAAAATTGAATATTTTAAAAAAAATTGGTTTTGAAAATGTGTATAATCCAAATAAGAATCAAACCAGAAGAGAATGGGATATATAACTTCAGTATAAGAAAAATTAAATAATAAACTTTTGTTGGAGATGTGAAATTATCTATTGTTATAATTAGCGCCTATTAAGATTCTTTGTTCACATATTCATTTCAAAAATGCCCCAAACCCTTTCAAACCAGCTAGAAAGTTTAATGCGGAATATTTCTATTAGTTAAACTAAGCTGCTTATTAGCAAAGCAAATTTTTATTTTGTATAAGGATAAAAATAATTAAAATAATATAACATTGAATTACATATGGCTTGATATTATAAGGAAAAACAAATACTATTGGAAAATCTTATATACATAATTTGCATTATGAAGTTACTGTTAAATTTTAATTTAAAGTTTTATTTAAAAAAAATATTTTAAATTAAATGTTTAAAATATTTTTTAATTGTATTATGCATGCAGTTTAAATTTAAAATAAAAACAACAAAATAATTAATTAGTACTTTTATATACGAATGTACATTTTTATTTCTTAATTTAATTTATCAAAAAAGTATAATTTAATTAAATAAACAAAAAAAGTTTATTGCATAAACATAAAAATATATACATAATATTATTACAAATTTTAAGTTAAAATTTCATATACAAAATATTAATAATAATAAAAATAAATGAAATAAAATAAAAATATATATAAAATCCCAAAAATGTTTGAACTCTTTTTTATTTTCAAAAATATTTAGTTTTGAAAACATTATTATGTTCAACAAATTTATACAATATAAAGCAATTTAAAAAATGCCTCTACTATAAATTTATGCGTAAAATCCTTTTTGGTAAACAGTTTTGCAAAAAAATTTAAATACAAAAAAAAAAGTAAAAAACAAAATAATTTACCAGCTTAAACTGAAAAAAAGAAACACCACTTTAAACATTTTTTTGTAGATACTATTAAAAGAAGACGAAGAACCATAATGAAACCACAATTACATACCATTTGAAAAATAAAATAACAACCATACTTGAATAATATTGAATCCTTTTGATTTTTTATATATACATATACATTTAATAAAACAAAATAAAAATTAAAAAAAGAAAGAAAAAACGAAACAAATAAAAACATAATATAGTAACTATAAGAATATTAGAAAAACCACACATTTAATAAATAAATTGATAAAACAAAAATAATGAAAACTTCAACAAATTGAATTGTAAGGAAAGTACATTATTATATACATATACTTACTCATGTTCATACTTACTTACGTACATGCATAAATATGTCTGTAAACGTTGATTACATGCATGAAAAATATGTAAAATTTTCAAATAAAAAAAAAATATTAAAAGTAATAACCATCTAAACTAATAATAAGTAGTTACAAGAGAAAAAAGGTAATAAAAACCAAACATTTTCTAATGGAAAATAACTTTAAACCGATAAATAATAAACAAACCAAGAAAACAAAAAATAAAAAAATCCGATTTATGAAATAAACATTTTGAAACCAAAAAAGAAAATTTTTTTTGCATGAGTCATTTTATTTTTAGAGGTAAAGATATTTTTATTGGTATTTCATTAATTTATCAAAAATCAGGTGGTATAAGTCGTTCCCTGGACCTCTTGTTCAATATCGAAAGTTATAAATAAACAAGATTACTTTCATTTCCACAAGACCTTTAATGTGGTCATCATTCCAGAAATCAATATTTCAATACATTGCAAACTTATCCACAATGGTGGTGTCATAGCTTCTATCAAAATTTATTAAAACAAAATTCATATTATTATTTTATAAACATTTTATTTTACGAAAACGTTAATGCAATTAAGCGCCTTAAATTAAAATTAATTTCATATACAAATTATTTGTACAGATAACAGCATATTTTCAATGAAGTATTCTCTTCCCCTTTGATTTAACTAAACCATGATTTCTTATTCATAGCATTAAATTTCGCAACATTCATTAATATTGAACTAACACACTGATCTTTGTCACGATTTTGTCCATAATAGTCGACAAATTCACCATCAGGATTTACCAAATACATAATAATTGTATGATCAACAATATAATCGTTATCTTGGTCACGAGGACCGGCAGAGAAATAAACTCTAAATGCTTTGCAAACTTTGCTTATTTGTTCCACAGTGCCGGTAAGACCCAACAATTTGGGTGAAAATTCTTTGACATATTTAGCCACGACTTCCTTGGTGTCACGTTCTGGATCAACTGTGATAAATATGGGTTGAACTTCGGGGTTCTGGGGAGATGCTTCTACAAAAAATACATAAATATAAATGAATGAAGAAAAAATTAACTGCTAAAATGTGTTGCAATTTCCCTACCAATTTCGTCAACCACAGCAGCCATTTTTTCCAATTCATCGGGGCATATATCGGGACAGTGAGTGAAACCGAAATATATTAAAAGCCATTTGCCCAAAAAGTCTTCCGACTTTCTCAAGTTACCTTGGGCGTCTATCAACTCCCAGCGTCCTCCTATGGCAGCCTTACCCAACTGACGTTTACGTTCCTTCAAAATGGCCTCCTCCTTTTCGTGTTTAACGTACAGCATAAATGCTAGACCCACAGCTCCCAAACCGCCTATGGCAGCAAAACTTTTCCAAGTAATCGGTCCTTTTCCCTTAACGGGATCTGTTGCGGCTAAACGACATTGTTGCACTGCCAAACTTTGTGTTTTATTAAATACTCCTGTGCGACCAGTGAGATGATTACGGCAATTTATGAAAAATCTTTGCAGGTTACGGGACATCTTACTGTTTAATTTAAAACTTTTAACTTTTTTCCTTGTTAATCGGAGAATTTACGTAAATGCGTTAAAAGTGACTAAAACTCGTCCGGCTATTTTGGATCTAATAATCGACTTTTAAACAATCGAATAATCGACATTTTGCAATAACAATGTAACGTTGCCAGATGATGTTTTGTTAATACACTGAGAAAAAAATACTTTTTTTTTTGCAAGGTTGGCTATCGTAATCGCTAAAATACGATTTCTACTACTGTCATCGCTAAAATATTTTTAATTCTTTACTTATACCAGGGTACACTAAACAGGTATATGCATCACTACAACAATACAAAAACAACATGTATTTTGTTTTTGTAATTGTATGAGCTCAATGTCAAAAATAAAATTCCTTGAAAAACAATGTGAACAAAACATAAATAAAAAATATTACTTTTAAAAAAGATATTAACGATTTAATTATATTATTATATATTATACAATTTATTACACTTTTAAACTACTTTAAAACCACTTTTAATTCACTTTTTAAACTTTTCACAAATTTTAACAAATAGCAAAACACAATTTAAAAATGGCGACGTAAACAATGTTAACAATTTTCAAAACAAACTTTGACAATTTGCTTCATTTATCTAGTTCAAAGTAAATTAATAAAGTAGCGACACGAGTTGTTGTACAACAAACGTCTACAAAAACCACAGGCAATTTGTTTTTGTTCGAAATACTCACTTGTCAAATTTGTTTACAAAAATGAACCAATAATTAATGGAAAATATGGCATTATTGTTGTACTTTCCAAAAATATGTTGTTATTTATATTAAAAGTCACAGAGTTTTCTTTATTTTTAAAAATTAGAACATTTTTAAAAATATTATACACTTAAAATACACTTTTTCACATTAAATACAACAAATTACTCAGAAATTTATACAAAAGCAAGCGTTAAATGAAAACAAATATGGCAACATAAACATTTTTGACAAGTAAGTCCACAAATAGCAAGTTTAAAAAAATAGTCAGCTGTTCAAATGAGTCTACTTATAAATTTACTTTGATCTAGTTTAAAAAAAATAGTCAGCTGTTCAAGTGATGCTACTTTATTAATTTACTTTGAGACATACGTAATTCGTTGTCAGTTCATCGTCCTGTTGTTTTTTTTTCATTCATTATTTTGTAATTTTTGGAATATTTATGTGTGTGTATGATACAAAAATACATTTGTTACATTATTTTAACAGTTTGTTTATTTGCATTTTTTGTAATTTCGGTCAATTACCGAAATAGACATGCACATGTACATATATGAAAAAAAGTTAATTTTACTTAATCTTCAAATGTTTATGAATGACACATACAAATTCTATCAAATGTTTTTTTTTTAATTTTTCAAAATTTTTAGAAAATAAAGTTCTTTTATATAAAAATGTTGCTTATTTTCTACACTAAAAAACTGTCCGTTTATTTCTTTGAGTGTATATGAAGTGCTTAAAAGTTGTCAGCACTGCTAGCGAACACGAACGCTCCTTTTTGACAGTTCGCTCTCAGTGAATGGAATTTGCAAATAAATTTTTTTAAAGAAAAAGTGATAAAAACCACCATAAAATGGTAAATATTTCTAGAAAATATAGTGCAATAAAAAGTTCTATTCAAAAAGAGTACCACAAATATAACTAAACCTATGAATTTGAGCGTAAATTTGCTAAAATTTAGTGGCTTTTTGTGTTGGCTGTTTAGAAATACATAACCTAACAAATGCTAAAGTGTATTTTATGGACGTTTCAATTACTAAATACAAACATGTTTTCTTTTTTGTGTGACGTTTTCTAGAGACCTTTAATGCTTCAGGGACATGAACGTTCCATTACCCAAATCAAATATAACCGTGAGGGCGATTTGTTGTTCTCCTGCTCAAAAGATCAAAAACCTAATGTCTGGTGGTCCATTAACGGCGAACGTCTTGGTACTTATGATGGTCACCAGGGTGCTGTGTGGTGTTTAGGATGTAGATTGGACTACCTCTAAATTGATAACAGGTTCAGGTGATATGACAACAAAAGTATGGGATGTCGAACATGGTACTGTTATTGCTTCTATACCTGCGAAGTCTTCAGTGCGTACCTGTAACTTCAGCTATTCAGGTAACCAAGCTGCCTACTCCACTGATAAGGCTATGGGTCAAAATTCAGAACTCTTCATTATTGATGTGCGTACTGCTGACTCCAGCTTAGCTGAACAAACCCCCATTTTGCGTTTACCCATGTTGCAATCGAAAATCACTTCCATGTTGTGGGGTCCTTTAGATGAAACAATTATAACTGGTAAGTTTATACATAAAAAATATGGATTCATAACCTTAATATTGGACATAAATCCATCTATTACAGGTCATGACAACGGTCAGATTTCCATCTGGGATATTCGTAAGGGACGTGAAGTTAATTCCGTTAATGATCATACTGCTGGCATCAACGATATGCAAATGTATAAGGATGGTACCATGTTTGTCACCGCCTCCAAGGATACCTCAGCCAAGCTTTTCGATTCTGAATCTTTGATGTGTCTTAAGACCTACAAGACTGAACGTCCCGTAAATTCAGCTGCTTTAAGTCCAATTTTAGATCATGTTGTTTTGGGTGGTGGTCAAGATGCTATGGAAGTAACAACCACATCCACAAAGGCTGGTAAATTTGATTCTCGTTTCTTCCACTTGATTTACGAAGAGGAATTCGCACGTCTTAAGGGTCATTTTGGTCCCATTAACAGTTTGGCTTTCCATCCTGATGGTAAAAGTTACGCCTCTGGCGGTGAAGATGGTTTTGTGCGTGTGAATACATTTGATAGTACATATTATGAACCTCTATTTTAAGTAGACTAACTATTGGCGTACATATTTTTTCTATTTGTAAAACCCACAAGAGTACCACAATTTTTCCATAATTTATATATAAAAAGAAACAAAAAATAGTTCAATCTTCGTCTTGTTTAAAAGCCAGAAAAAAAGGTATTAAGCTTACGACTGGGCTGGCTAGTTTGCAAACATTAGCAAAATGTTTGCAAATAAAATTAATAATCAAATATATGCAAGAACACGAAGAAAAGTAAGCATGATGTGAATTAATTGAAGAAATTTATTAAATGCAGCATATGTGGTAAGTTTTAATAAAATTAAATAAAAAGAAAAAATAAGGAAAAAATGGTCAAATTTGGTTATATCGTTAGTCACATTTTTATAGAAATCTAAAACATTTAAACGTTTTCGTTAAAATTATGTTGTTTTTTTTAAAACTATGTATATGATGCCTGATGTAATAAATGCATCCTGTAATGATGTTTAAGAATTTCTGCACTGATAAATGTCCTGTGAATTATATACTAGTATTTTAAACAAGTATGTAGTAGAGAAAAAATTTAGAATAGCACCGATGAAGAGATATTTTCGCTGTGCTTATGGTTTTATATTCTCGAATCCAATAGATATGTCTATAAATTGTATTTAGAAAGCTTTTATGTTGGAAACGAAATGGATATTAACTTCTAATTAGGGATTCAAAATTAATGTCAGATTTAATAAAGACCACGAAAAACTGCAAATGTACCAAACAAATATTTTGGGATGCTTTGTAATATTATGATATTTAACACATTTATTGATCCATATTTCTTTATACATGTTTTTGTATAATTATTCATAACACGTAATATTGTAAGTATGTATGTATGCATGTAAATGATTCACAACTACTAAATGGAAAGTAATAATATAGTAGAAAGTAGGCACTGCCGTTTACCAAAGGTACTTTTTGTGTATCAGCTGGGAAATAAATACTAATTTAGAAAAAGGATTTTTTCTCTTTCTTAATCATGACTGGTTGTCCCGACATGGCAGCCAATTGACCAGGTGTAGGAGCACATCCGGGAGGTGGTGGTGGTATACTTATAGCTCCGGTAGCTGTTGTCCTTACTTTGGCACCTTTTGCTAAGTATAAAACATTATTTGCGCCATTGGGAATGGTGGATTGTGGTGTTACATTTATAGAATTGTAAAAGCTTTGTTGTTGTTGAATATGATCTTTGATAGGGATTGGCGTAACCGCAAGATGATGGACCTGGAGTTGGATAAGCAGCGGGGGGTAAAAAGGCTTGTTGCTGTTGGTATGCGGTTGGATTAGAATACATGTATTGATGTGATGTACTACCAGCGCCACCATTCATTTTTAAACTTTCTTCATATGAAGGAGGCGGAGGTCCTCGCTGCTTAAAAAATAAACTCAAAATTAAATAAACAGTCAATAGATCTATTGAATTTAGATTTTATACTTCAAATTCATCTGGGGCTGATGGAGCCACAGAAGGGTACAATTCCGGTTGATCTAGAATACGAAAATATTTCTTTAATAAATTTTTAAATCACTTCTATTATTCACTTACCGGATTTCTTCGACATATTTATTATTTTACTTGCGAAACTGTGCTTATATTATAGGATTACTGTGTGTATATTTAACAAACATACAGTATATTATTGATTTACCATTCTTATGGCAATGTGACTAAGTACACTTTTTGCATTTGTCAAAAAATTTCACTCAGTCTCTTCATTTGCCAATGGGTTATATAGTAAAACATTTCTAAAGGAAACCTTTTAGCATTTCTTGTTCGTTGATATTTGAAAGTTTTCCTTTCGAATCGAATTAAGAAAATCGCTAATAATTTTCTTTATTAAGTCTAATACAAAATGTAATTTCGAATTAATCTTAGTGGTTTTTTAAATGCATTTCTTATGGATACTATAAATGTTTTATTTAATTGTCTGTTTATTATTTGATTTTCTAAATTTTAGATTTAATGTGTTTATCTTATTAGCGGCTACCATATATATTACTCATCTTGTTTTGGCATTTCTGTTATTGATTGTTGTTGAACAAATAAAGAGTATGCATATGATATATGTACAAACCAAGGGTTGTATTTTCTCGTCAAAAGGTCTAAATAACAGATACTACTATATGCTATAGAAACATTTTAAAATCGAAAATAAATTTATTTGACCTAAATGTTCCCAATGGAAAAATCATTTGTATAAAATCTGTTCTGCAAATAATTAAAACACTAGCTATTTATAAAATATCTTTTTATATTTTTTAGTTTTTTTTTTTTATAATTATTACTTAAAATTAGAAATAATTTTTTAAAAGGATTTATGCTGCTTCTATTTCATCCAAAAATTTGCGAACATTTTTTCTTTAGAACTTTAACAGGCTTCAATAAATATAACGTCTGGTTTAAGGGCACCTACTGATTCAACAGAAAATATATAATGATCACGTATCCTTGACATTTCAACTGCGTCCGCCAATTCAGGATAGCGATAAACATTTCGGCTACAGGTATCGTAACGAGCATTTTTAACATAGGCTCTTTCATATTCATCAATGCCTATGACATCTGGCGAAAAACATTTTTGCAGCAAAAGGGCGTCCTTTCCTTTAACCTCTCGTGTAAGTTTAATCTCTGGCAAAAGGCGATAAAAAGCAGTTGCAACAGGTGAGAATTTAGCATGATCTTTGCCAATGCCCTTTACCGCAACCAATTTTAAATCAAATTCATGTCCCGGTCTCATTTGTGAAATGAGGATGTCATCTTGTATACAACCCACATCCGATTCTGAGTATAATTGAGCTTGTTTGCCTCTGGGCAGCCATTTTATTTGTCCCGAATATACTTTATGATTCTTGTAGATGGTATCAAAATTGGAGGAATCTTTGACGTCTTTGCGTCGTGTACACTTAACTTTTAATTCAAATTCTAATGTGTCCAGTTCGGTGCCCTGTTCATTGTCCTCACTACGATATTCGAATAAACGGGGATCCGCCTTGATCGGTATTAAACCAATACGATGTGCCAAAACTTCATCCTGTATTATGGACGTATTGTTGTATATGTAGACCTTTTCAAAAGCCATGCTAGGAACTTCACTTAACATTAAACGTCTAAAAGCATTGGCAATAGCTGGATGTACACCAATCATATCGAATTCCAGTTCATTGTTTTCATATCTGTAATAAATTGTTTTTAATATTACATTTATGTTATAGGTTTTCATCATACATACCGAACAATAACAATTTGCATTTTTTTCTTAAAGGTCTCAATGTCCACGGGATCATCGGCCAAGCCATAGTCATGTGGATCCTGCTTTAGTTTATATTCGTCCATATATAATTTTGGTTTTTCCTGACCCATATTTATTAATTTATTTCAATTTTTTCAACAAAACTAATAAAAACTGCTTTTCAATAGTATTTACACGTGCAGACAAAATGTAAACATTGTACAGGGTTGTTAAATGACATTTAGTGACGTTATGCTTAAAACAGGGATGTTATGCTGACAGTTTACATTTTTATTTGCTTCGTTTGTCATCCTTAAAGTATGCTGCTAGTTTTATTTTTTACTTTTCAATCCCAAACTACACTTGTTTTTATAATTTTAGGTTATTCTAATTGCTTATATTTTATTGTATTTTTATATTTATTGTACAAATAAATTTACAAAAGTATTAATTTTATAATGTTTGATAAACGCACTTGGCGGTTAACTTTAAGGCGTCGGTGTTAATCAAAATAAGACGACTTCGGTTTTCCGCTAAATATTTTACGACGTCGGATTTGTAATTAAATGGCGGCTAGGTTAGTAAATCTCTGCTGTTTGGCGATGGACTCTGCATATTGCAATTTTATGAATTTTATTCCAAAAAATAAACAAACAAGCATTCTTAATTTAATGTAGCGAAAATATTATAAATTCTAAAACAAAAAAGACAATTAAAAATGTCCAAACGTTTTCAACCTTTGAAAGAATTTGGGCGTTCTATGAAAAAGCCAAAACTGGACATAAGCATCAGTAGCAGAAGTGCAACGGATGCAACAGCCCGGCCTTCATCATCCAAGGCGACTATAGTAAGAAATGTATCACCCATTAAAAGTAGCACTAATGATTTCTGGGATGATGATGACGACGATGTCATACTACTGGCCACTCAAGTGGCTGAAGCAGCAGTTGCGGCCGAAAAGGTTTATAGCCAAACAAAGCAACAACAGTACAATGGAATGAATTTAACCGAGAGCGATATAACGTTTACGGAATTTGCTAATGCTGCCACCACGAGTACACAACGGCCAGCGGTAAGTGAAATACCAGCACCAGATATTTTGTCACAAATGTTTGAGGATGATGACGATGACTTTGAACTATTGGCCGCTGTGCAAATAAATGATCCGGGTGTGTTTAAAAAGCCTGCTCCACCACCGCCAACACAAAAGCCGAAACCAAAAATCACACAGCAGCAGGTTTCAGAGGATGCTATGGAGTTCGTTTTATCCCAGAATACTGGCCCAGAGTCAACATTACCCTCTAGCCAGAGCGCGGCGCGTAGACAATTGGCCTCGGAAAGACAAATAAAATTTCTAATGGAAAAGGTAGATGTTTTAAAAAAGGAAAATTCGAAATTAAGCCATGATCTATCAGGAGGCAAAGACAAAGATGGCATCTAAAGAAGGCGAAACATCATTGCTGCGCGATGAGTTGCGCCACCTAAAACAGCAGGCCCAAACATTAAGAATGGAGAAAATATTAAGCGCACAAAACGCTCAAAACGAATGCCAGTCGAAAATGGATGAATTGGCCAAGGCAGTACAAGCCAAAGAAGCCGAAGTACGTATGAAAGAAATGGAGTGTTCCATGGTTAAAATGCGTTATGAGGATGATACTCAACGTTTGCAACAAAGTATATGTGATGAGTCCATAAGACAGGTACAAGTTAAACAAAGGCGGAAAGATCCGAGTGCTGTTACAACATCGTCTAACAAACAACAGCGACGGTTGGCAAAATGTCTCATGAGAATGCCTAGTTTGGATGTAGGCGCCTCATTAGCCTCCCAATTAGAAGAATGTACACTTAGCCAAATACATCCCATGATATATGAGCACTCATGGGATAAGGGCAGCTCCAAAAAACAAAGAACGCTATTCCAACTTGAATTGGAAAACATACAAACAAAACTGGCTCAGTTGCAACTTTTAGGAGTTGAAAAATTGCCCGATAATTTCGCAAAGTCCTGCTTAGATTCGGTTAGCAAAGTTTTGCCGGAATTTTGGTCTTATACGCATAGTTTAGAGTTTCCCAAGAATCGTCGTATACATCCCTATCACGATTATTCTCTCATTAATACAAAATCACCGCCGAGAGCAGATGATTATGTACGTTGTCTACAAGAACCGTCGGAATTATACGATGATGAACGTTGCTTATGTTTAAGACGTTATCTTGCTGCTTTAGGCCATTATTTGCCAAGAAGTGCCAGAATTAACGTGTGCCCTACTGCAACACAAACATGACGAATATTATCTATTGCAAATTGTTACAGACTCGGTTTCAAAACTGGGCTTTGCGCGTGAAATCTGCGAACACTTTGGAGTGTTAGAGGCTTTAGCTGTTTGGTTAAATAGTTTGCTGATTCATGCGTCTTCCGCGACGCCTGTAAACTGTTTAGAAATGTTGGTGGATCTTTTAAAATCATTAGTATTTTCCCGCCCTAGCGCTTGGATTTTCCGCGAAATATCTATTGGCCTAAGGCAATGTTGTAGATTGCCCAAAACTTTGGACTTATTGTGTGTTAATAGTCCAGAGTCAACATTTGTGGCTGATCGAGTGCGTTCAACTTATAGATTCTCTAATGAATCGTGTTTGATGCAGGTAGGTGGTCATTTATAAATGTTTGCTATGTTGTTATATTTATCTTTGTTTTAGGTTTATTGTGGTCTGCTGGAAATTGCCTTCCCTTTAAGTCAGCATTTGCATTTACAGCATTTTAAACTGCTCGTTGTAATATGTTTAAATCATGTGCGTTTTGTATATGAATGCTTTCAAAAACCACCAAAATTTGTACAAAAACTTTTGCCTTTATACGATGACGAAGAAGATGAAGATAACAATGAAAGACGAATTGATGTTTCCAGTAATAGCAGCAATAACAACAAAATGGATTTTGAAACGACCGAACAAAATTCAACTACAACTAAAACAAATATTACCACAAACTCGACAGTAGGTCAAGAAAATGCTGCTGATTTAAGAAATCCTAGATGCGAATGTTATGTCAAATTATGCCTTAGTGTAGTAACACTGATCTTTCAACTCCTCAGACAATGGTTACTACAAAAAAAGGAACATTGTAAGTGATTTTTTTTGCAATAGTCTTTTTGTAAAAGTTTATTTTTTTTTTATTTGTTTTATTGTTAGGTACTTTACAGGTGGCTGAAATTTCTCGGTTATCCGTGCAGCTATTGCATATCATATTTTGTGACAACTATTTGACCTGCTTATTTAGGGAATCCGAGGAAACTACCAAACACTATCTCTGCTTAATTATTAAATGGTGGTCAGATAACTCTAAACAACTGCAATTTAATGATATTAACAGTAAGTCGGCGCTTATTTAATAAAGCTTTGAATAATTTAATTTAAATTATTTGCGTTTTTTGCAGTGAAATTTTTACAAAAACTACAAAACTCTCATGTCTTGCCCAAGGACATAACTGCCGAAACAAATTATCATAATATCAATGTTGATTTATCCGAGTGGCAAAAATGCACTACAAATGACAATGTTAATCATTTAAAACCTCCCCATAATGCTGAAGAGGCGGATAGTTATGCCAATAAATTAAATTTGATACAAGATGCTTCGAATCAAAATAAATTTTTTGAAAGTCTTAAAGGATTTGCCTTTAATTTTCAGTGATCATGTGTATACACTATTTTTATACTTATATAATTGTTATTTGTTAAATTTAAATCTTTATTGTTAAAATTATCTTTAATAAAAAAGTATTAAAGTGAAAGAATATAAGCGGAAAAAAGTAAGTTTTTTATTCAATATAAATAGAATATAAGATTTTATGCATTTTTTGTTTACCTAACAGATGTTTAGAAGAGTTGCAGTTATTCTTAAAATTTTTGGAATTTTTAAGCTTCAAAGTATGCTTTAAAACTTTTTCATTTAATTAACCAACCTTTGAGTTACAGCATTTAAAAATTATATTTTCTTTTTCGTTTTAATGTAAACAACATTACAAGTTTTGTAAAAAAAGTTTGATTTTATTGCAGAATGCTATAAAAGTATAAAATGTATGTTTTGTGTATTTGTATATAAATCTAGTTTAAATACTTTTTTTGAATAAATATGATGATGAGAATGATGTGTTTTTTTAGCGAGAAATTTATGAAATGTGAATTTTTAAGTGAGTGTATAATTATTATATGTATGACTACAAAATTTTGCAAAATTTTTGGTTTATAATTTTTGGTTTCAAAAAAATTTTAAAGCACAAAAACTGCCCATTAAAACCAGCTAACATAGATACTTTGTAATTTTCTACAAATTTCAGCAAAATTAATTTAATTTTTTTCACTGCAGCTTGATTTTAACAAGAAAATGTGCTTTAAAAGTTAAGTACTTTTTTTTCTAAATACTAATTGTTTTAATAATTTTTTTATGTATTCTGTTTAAATATATCAATAGCTAATAAATTACTTGAATAATCGGAAACACTATAAAATATTTAGGTGTATGTGTAGTATAGACAATTACAAATTAGCATATTTCCAATATACGAACAGACATGTAAGGGAAAGGAAGAAAAAATATTCGATTATAGTAAAAGAAGAATTTGTTTTAAGAAAGCTTTAAAATGTTAGAGCAAAAAGCCAATACAAAGTGGTAGTGAGTAAGTAATACCTTATGGTTACATAAATGCATTTAAACAATTAATTACCATTTTAAGGGTGTACTACGATTGCTAGCGGCATTTGCTCTGGAAATAGTTTTAAAAGAAATTTAGAATTAGCATTTAAATGGAAACTTTAAATTATTAGCAACTTACTTTACTACACCCTGCGCCTGCGTGGGTGTTAATGTTATTAATGGTGTCAAACGTTCCACAAAACGTTCATTATTACGTTCCAATTCACGCTGATAATCTTTTTGATCGGATAAGATTAAATTACGATTTTTCTTTAGAGCATCAGCACAACGTTTTGAAAATTCTCTAAAGCATAAACGTAATTTATTTTGATTTTTGGTAGGTATGGTAACACCATCCGAGAGATTCGATAGAAATACGGCTGCCATTTCCATGGGACCCTGATTGACAGTGGTACCAATGCAGCCTTGTAAGACCATTTGTAGTATCTTGGGATCGGCTGGTTCTTGATTGGTAGCCGCTGCCAATTCCAGTGTTTTCTTTTGTATATCTTCGATGGCCACTTCAATGGGATCCAATATGATTTGCTGGCGATTTATAACTTGAATACGTGTCTTGACGTAAGGAAAATGATTGGCTGTGGTGAGTATTGTTTTGCGTTTACATTGTTCATGCAAATCACCATGTGCTTTGCCAGACTTGGTGAAAGGGGTGGCAAAAATGAAACGTTCTGAAATATGTTGAAATACTTAAGTAAACTTATTTGCTTTAAATTGGTTTTATTAGTATACTTATGTTGAAGTTTCTTTCGAAATAGGTTTCCCGATGCCGCAGCTCATAGTTTTCGAAATAGGGTTCTACATAGGTGATTTGTATGTAAGCCTTATCGGGATCTAGACTATTAACATCTACACTGTTAGGAATCTTTAATAATGTGAACAGAGTCTGGGCCAAAAGCGATCAGCATAAAAGTTCTATAAGAATTTAATTAAGTTTTAAGTAATATTTTTACGACTTTTATTTATTTTTAATATCTTTGGAAATTTTTCGAAATTTTTTTCGAAAAATATTTGGAAGTGGATTTAATAAAAATTAAACTCTATAAAAATATAATTAGAAGTTGCAAAAAAAAATTTTTTTTGAAGAGAACATTTTTGTAATTTAAGATGAAAATGATAAACTAATCTAAAATTTCAAACTTACCTGCAGTCTACTAAATATTTCGGGTAACTTGGTAAGAGTTGGTTCCTTGTAGATAAACTCCTGTTGATCTAAATCACCAAATTTGGCACCATAGAAACCAACTCTGAAATAAGTACCAAAAACCCGTTTGCCCTGCAGTTGTGCGATACGATTGAAGGCCTCCTGTAGTTTACCATGAATTTTACTTAATTTCTGGAAATCTCTATTGGCCTCGCAAATGGGTACAAGTATTTTATAAACTTCATTCATGGCCTCATACATGCCAGCTATTTGGAACGAATTTGAAGCTTCTTCCAACAAAGCTTTCAAGCCTGACTCAGTGAAATGATTACCCAAGCAGATACCATCTTCGCCAGGACTTAGAACGTCATCGGAAACAGCAGACTCCAGCAAAGAGTTGGGAGTGACTTTCTGGAAGCTCACTGCACCTACTGGTAGATGAGGCTGGGACTCCAACATACTTAGGTATTCGGCCACCAGAGCGGCGGAATGAACAAAGCACATGGCTGCCTCAGTGTGATTGGCACGCTCTTTGTGTTTCTTGGCCATATTCTCTAACCATGTCAAACGTAAATCGGGATTATTTTGATAACCTTTGGCAATACGATGCATAAGATCTAACAACATTTCAGGATCCTCCTGATATTCTTTCATTTTTACCGTGTCCGAGAGTATCATATGCAAATTGAATAATAGATCTTGTACTTGTTCTGGGAACGAGGTATCCTGGAGATCTGAATCGGATTCTGCATAAACTAAAATGGTTTTTAGAGCTCGTCGTAAAGACTGTTCGCTGAACGAAGAGCTAGTGCCCACTAGAGATGATAGAGACATGGTTACTTGCATTTTAACGCGAGCGAAATTCTGGAAGATCATTTTTAGAATCAATAGAAGAATGTTATTAATCACTTATGTTGTTTCTTTGTACTTACATTGCCGATTTCAAAATTTTGCCTCATTAGCAAATACAAGGAAGCAGCAGCTTGTGATCTTATACCAGGCAACTGGGAACCACAGTGCTTTAGCAACAGTAAACACAAGTCAGCACAGATATCGGTTTCCTCATCAAACAACAAATTGGGAAATTTAAAGATCAATGATCTTTGTGATGAAAACAAATTCTTCAATGCCAAAGTACTTTGGTTGCGCGACAAAGCATGCAACAATACTTTCAACACTGTACCCAAAAGATTATGATGCATTTCGGAATTCGTAGCCACTTGTACAATAATTTCCAAACAATCTAAAATCACCAGAGTAATTTCGGTAGCCAATGATCCTTCAATATAATGACTCAATTCTAATTCTGGATCTGTTTTTGTTATAGTATCATAAAATTGTGCCCTATAGGGCATTTGATCTTTACGCCAACGGAATTTCTCCGTTGAATTGCGATCTTTGCGACGATTTATTAAATCATAACGGGCCGAGTTGGTGCCACGTATACACTCCTCTAGTTTTTCTTTAAGATCTGTAGGTTTGCGGAAACTTTGTGTGTTACGTTTTAAGACGGGCAAACGTTTCTGTCCTTTATATTCGAAACAGGGTATACAAGTATTCAACACCTGCAACATTTGATGAACTCTATGAGGTGATAGTCCTAAAGTCCATCTATATAAAGCAGTTCTTTCGAGATTTTTCAATATCCAAGTGCAACAAGCTAAAAGATGACGTGTATTTTCACTACTCAAAGGTGATTTATTCTTTACATGATCACTCATGTAGGCATAAGATCTAGAACCCGATATAGCATAAGCTACTTCGGGACTTATAGTTGTGGTGGCAATGGTAGTGTGTGGACCCTGGTAATCATCTAATAAACCCATATTGTGTAAGCGATCATTGGAGTCGGTTAGATATTGATGTAATTGTGGTATGGCATCCATTACTATGCCCAGCAAAGGCAGATATAAAGAAGCTACGCGTGCTCTAGCCTCACTGTCACTATAGCGTGGATCCAAGTCATGAGAAGTCATTAAATTTCGTATACATCTTATAGCTTTGCCATGCAGTTGAGGATTTCTAAGAAGAGATGAAAATATTTGAATTAGTTTAAAAGTCTGTGAAAGTGGAAGAAATCGTTTCCAAGTTTTGTTTGAAGTTGTTTCTGTTGCCAGATTTTATAATTTATGGGAATCATAGGGATTTTAAACTTACGGTACTTCCAAAACAGTCGCTAAATCACTTAGAACCAAACCAACTAGAAAATGCTGTTGCCTGAATTCGATGCTTAAATCCGCATGTAAAGCTCGTTCAATGGAACCCTGGAAACAAATTAAATCCATTTTTGTTAAAATTTCAAAAACAAGATTTCGGCAAAATAACTAAAGGCTTTTTATGTATAAAACTCGATTTTATGAATCTGCTCTAATATTATTAAAAAATTGTTTTTTTAAAATTACTTACATATGATGTTCCACTAGTGTTCGAATTGGTACTTGGTGTGGGACTGCAGGGAGCAGATTTTGTTGTATACGGTGTGCCAAATGGCAGATTTAATGCCACATAATGTTCATGACTACAGACTATACGCAAAAAATCTATTTTATAATTCATCAAATCTGGTATAGAGGCATTTTTCGATATCAAAACCTTGTAATAGGTTTTTATTAAGCCAAATATAAAACCTCTATCCATGACACTAAATAAGTCAAATATAAAGAAACTTAAGCTGGCATTAAGACATTGAGCCAATTTGGGTTCATTGCTGTGATAACCCACCACTTTGGTGGTGACCAAATGTACCAAAGTCGATATATCATCTGTGTATTGATGAGGAAATCTTTGTTTTCTTGGTGCTTGCAGAGATCGCGTAAAATCCAAATGTTCTATCATGGATTTAACAATCAATTCAAATAAAAACCAAGAATTACTCATGGCTAAATCAGCAGCACGTCCGCTAGCTACTACCCAGTGTAAAGCTAGTTCCTCATGCAATAAACGTATTTGGCCATCGCGTCCTACAAATGTTGGTGACATTTCCATGGCCATTTCCTTACGATCCAAACTGCGGCCGGCTACTACATTATCGTAGATGCTATAGGTATCTGATGAAGAGGAGGAAGTATGCATTTCTTCAGCATTACTGCGGCTGCAGGTTATACGTCTCTTGCCACTGAAAGGATGGGGGATTTTGCTTTGAAATTGCACATAAGTGGATAGTAAAGACTGGCGGCCGTATTGATCTACTATTAAGTCATCACTTAAAATCTGAAAAAATACAGTTTTGTAAAAAAGTTGAAATATATGTATTTCGTTTAATAATAGAATTATAAATTTTTTCACACTCGAGTTCAAATCCTAGTTAGTTTTAAATCCGAAAAAGTCCATGAAAAATTCTCATCATTCACAATTTTTAAATCTACTCACCGATAAATTAGATGATACTAAACACAAAACTTCGAAAACTGTTGAACCCAGTGATAGTGTTTGTCCGCCAATTTTATAAGTTGTTACCAACAGTTCTATAAGTTTATCCAAAACTAAATGTAAATTTTTCACCAAAGGTTCACGTTCAGCATTTGCAATTTCCAGTAAACATTTCTTCATTTCAGCTTCCATATTGCCCTCACCTATACGTGGTGGAATCTTGCGAGAATTCAAATAATCACACATCAAAAAGAAACGATCCAAATTAGGATCTAAAGTATGTACTGAAGTAACTGCCTCCACGCTTATGGAAAAGACAGGACGATGATTATCCAGCCATTTAGTGCCGGGTAAGTGAACATTTGGCGGTATAAAGGAATAGTTTTCTGGAGGAGTTTCTACCATTACAGGCAATTGAAATTCTCCCACTTTAAGTTTGCCATCCTCTAGTAAAGGCCACCAGGTATAACCCACCGGTGTTTCAACGGAAGGTTGCAAGTCTTGTGGTTTCTTTTGACATGAAACATGATAAATGGTAAAGAAAAGATGGTGATTTTGTTTGAGATGAGCTGGTAAAGCAAATTTAATTTCATCATAGAATGCTGGACATTTGTTATGATAATTGACGGCTGTAAAAGCTTCATTAGAATACTCGGGGCAGGATGATTTTCCAAATATGGCATTAATGGCATCGTTTTGTGTTTCTCCCGCCATAAGTTGTACTCTAACAGCAATATTACGTGCAGAACCGGCCCTTGAGGAAAAGTTAAGCTCTTTGGGTGACACAAACAATAGATTACGATAAGTGTAGTGGGGATTATAAATAGCGGTAGGAGGTATTTCTAGTATTTCCTTGACTGGTCTAGTGTTATCCTCTACATATGGCTCTACTTTGGCCAATTCGGGGGTTAAGGCATTCTTAACATCCTCTGTGCAGGGTGAAATTTCCAATTTTATAGAACCGGGTATGCATTTGTATTTCTTCATCGCCGAACTAGGTCTTTTTAGTTCCATTAAAAATTTATATAAATCTTCGTCTTTCATTTTATCGGTTTCTTGTTTAAAGAAACTAGAAATAGTTATAGTAATGGGCCGGAATGATTCAACCACATTGGCAAAGTCATCAGGAGACCAAGATCGTCTTTTTTCTTTGCGTTCTAAAGAGCCTCGACGTGTTAAAGTACCACTCATATCATTGGCTTTACGTCTTAGCTGATCAAAACTGCTGGTAGATGATTTGCGATCTAAGCTGTTGGAACTGGCTGCAGATCCCAGAGAACCACCAGTTTCGCGATCTTGATTGCCGCCCAAACCAATACCCTCTTTTCCGCCCTCAAAACTATCACCATTGAAAATATTGGTTAAATATATACCAGTCCAAGCGAAAGGCATGCGGTATTTGCCTAATCTTTCACAAAAGTCTGAGGCATTCTGTTTGGCTTTTTCACGACATTTATCTTTATCATCTTTAATATAAGGCTCCACCGAATCCTTGATATCACCCTGCAAAACCTTTTCCAAACGTATTACCAAAAACAAATCATTGCTGGGATAACTTATTTCAAAAATACCCGCTCTACTTTGGGTACTTTCATCAGCACAGCGCACGTGCGTATGTAACATACGTTTTAAGGTATCCGAATTCATATCAAAGTAGAAATTTTCCGAGATCTTTTTCTTTTCTTTGGCGTCATATATGGCCATAGAGGCAAATATTGGTTCTACCTCCAATTCCAGTCTTAACTGTAAACATTTCACAAATATACGATGACCCATATGTTCCATGGGCAATTCAGCCGATAATCGACGTTCGATTATATCTTCGGCATCCGCTTCGGGATAAAGAGAGAAGAGAGCTTCTTGTCTATCTTCCAATCTCTTTGATTCGTTTGTTTGGTCAATATGTTCGGGAGGAACATCATCTAATAAGTTCGGTATTAAGGGATCGTTGACAGAACGTCTTAGGTCAAAACTAGCCCATGAACCACGGGGAGTTAAAGTATCAGTACAGGAGCTAACAGAAGATAAACTGGCAATAGATTGCCTAGAGCTGGGAGTGCAGCTGTTACTTTGATCGGTTAAAGAGGACTCATCGAAAGAGGCAAAATCTTTATCTACTTCAAATTCTTGCTGATAGGCCGATGGGCTTATGGTGCCTCGATCAATACGTTCACGAGCACAACAAGAACTAGAATAATGACGTTGGGCATATTCCACCACTTTCCAGGGGCGTGTATAACAGTTAACACACTCCTGAACATGTTGAGGCAGTTCAGCACTAAAATGGACATAATATGTATTGAAATGTTTGTAAAGGTATTCTTTGCAACTTACAAATTTTCCTTTGGCACAATATGTTCAATGGTTCTGATTTTACGTGGTATAGTTTTGACAGTAACATCTCCTGGTGGAAAATCGAGTATATTTTTTAAAGGATCACGATTAATAGTGTTTATATGAGAATTTAAAAACTCTTCGTAATCCAATGGCTCAACGGGTTCGGTTAAGGAAAGCTAAATAAAAAAGAGAAGTAAAATTAATTAATAAAGACACACCTTGACCATAAATGGTACAATATGTACTACATACTACATTATGGAAAATAGGCCAAATACTTACAGTCGAGGAGCACATAGAAGAATCTGTTTGTTTTCGTTTGCATATGACAATTGACCACATTTTTACGCACATCACTAGCATGAGTCCTATAAAGAATTAAGAAATTCATTCATAAATTGTTTTTCATGTTAATAAAGAAATTTTAAACTTGCAGGCAGCCTCGCCCTTTTGCTAATTTAAGAACTTTTTATCAGGTTACTTTTCCTTTAGTCTTACCTAGATAACTTTTGCGCAAAAGAGCGCTGTGTAATGGACATTTTGTTTTAAATATTTTTAATTATTTATTTATTACTATTTGTAATTGTTAAATAAAATCTAGTATTTTTTCATTCTCTTCTTTGGGTAAAAAATTGTTTGTGTATTTATGATAGACAGAAAAAAGATGGCCGCTTTATTTGTTTTCTATGTCAACTTTGACATTTCATTACAACACAGCTGTTTCATAAATGTCAATAAATATTGTTGTATTTTACAAAATTCTAACATTTTGAGACATTAGATGGCGCTTCATTGAGTATGACGACACTTTATAAGGGTTGGTAATTTTCAGATTTGATTTCCATTAGAATTTATAACAATTTAAAAAGTAGTTTTCAAGTCAAACAAATGATTAATTTAAATAATTTTTTGATGATTTTTGACAATTTTTTATTTGGCTGTGTTTTCTAAAACAGTTGCTTGCTTTATTTTATAGCATAGTTTTAGGTGTGCATTTAAAGTTTGTATGAAAAGTCGAAAATGTTGTAATAGTAAATTTGACTTGACTTTTATAATTTAAGGCCAATTTTAAAAAGTAATGTGTAATTATATTCCGAACAAAATTGCCTTTAAGAGTTCTTATACTATTATGTCTTTATAGACAAATTTATTGAAATAAATTGAAGTAGAATTTTGATGGAATGAAAATTTACAGAGTACTTTTTTGTGCTTTAACTGGTACTTTTGAATCTTTTTAATATTAAACCTAGAAACTTGAAATTAGCCATACAGTGCCCGGAGTAAATAAGAACCTATTATTTTCAAAAAGGTATATTTTGAGTTTTCTATAATATTACCTTTGGTTTAGTGAACATAGGAAAACTGTAACACAGTGTTATTATAAATTTTAGTTTTCTTCAAAGTCCAGAACAATAAATCCCCAAAATATAGGTTAAGGTTAAATAAAAACAATTTTGTGTACACTCACAGCCATATTGTTAGTTATTGATTTTAGCTTTTAACCATAATATGCTAAATATTTAGATAAATAAATAACAAATCCACTACATTTATATTTAAATCTAATTATTTTATTAAAATGTCTAAAATATGTATGTATTTTTATAAATACACTGCTTAACAATAAACAAAATTTCTTTTGTTCATATTAAGAAAATTTAAATAAATTCAAAAATGATAAATTGAATTGTTTTGAAAATTTGAAGGTTCTTGTATTGAAAACGGTTATTTATAGTGTTAAAGATGCTGTTCGACTTGACCATGAACCCAAACAAAATATTTGAATGTACTTTTTTTTTGTCTCTAAAGTGGTATTAACAATTGGCAAACATTTAATAAAGAAAATTTTAATGTGTTTTTTGGTTTATGGTATTTATGCTGTAATATTTAGTAAAAGAATAAATTAATATATTTTTTTAAATATTTGAACATTCATACATAAATCTTTGTTATTTAAATTAGTGTTGCTAAATATGGTTATATGAAAGCTAAAGTTACTTAAGGATTTAAAAATAACGTTAAAATTAAAAATAAATCTTAAATCAAAATCTATAATTAAAATGTGTTCTTCTTATAGATATTTATTTTACAATAGGGCTTCCCTTAATTTCTAAACTTTGGTGTTCTTTTTTTAAATTTAAACCGTTAAAAATAACCATATAAGTGTTAATTATTATTCAAATATTAACACGTGTATTGTTTTGTTGATTTTATTATTAAAACTATTATTATTTTGTTTTTATTATGTTTTCTGGATTCTTGTGTTTCGTTCACGGATGTTGTGCCATTTCATGCCACTTATTCAAAGATTTTTTTTTGACTATTGTTGTTCTGACTTGTTGTCGTCGCAGTTTTAAAATTTACATTCACTTTTTTTGTGTGTGGATGGATGTCACTGTTTTTTGTTCATCTTAATAAATAATAAATAAACTTATTAAGCATCACAAGAACAACAACAATAACACAAAAACAACTTAAAAAAACTAAATTTAAACAATAAATTAACAAAAAAGATCATCGTCGCATACCACATATGTACACATACATACATATGAATATGTAGCATCGATCGATCTATAGTAACGGCCGTTTTTTGTATTTTCAGTGATCGTGTTTTATCAATTTTACTGACTTTTTATTTAATTTAATTGTTTTTGTTGCTTTTTGTCTTCAAGGTTAAGGCAAACTGGTCCCATCTCTCTCCCCAACGTGCTATCTCTAGCTCTTCTTCTCTCTCATTCTCTTAATATGCATACATATGTTTAAAACTAAGATCAGCTTTTTCTGTCAGTGGGTGCTCTTGCAAGCACTAATGTTTGATACACATTTCATTTAATAAATGTTTCAATATTAAAATCATATTAAATAAATTAATAATACTTGAAAACACTCATTAACATCATCATCTTTTATACCATTAATATAATTTATTAAAGTGCCTAAATTCCATTGAAATAATTTACCTTATTTCAAATTTTTCAAAAATATTTGCAGTTTTTTTTAATATATTATTTATTCCTTTCACTTGTCATGTTAATGAATTATGTTAGATTTAAGTATCTCAGTTGTGGGGATGTTGAGGCTATAAAGGAAGACATATTGCTTTAGTAGTGGTGTTATGATTATTAGACTTTTTCGAAGATCCCACCATAAGTCACGTTTACGCCCACTGTACGTATGTTGAATATTTTATTTAAAATTAGACAAAATTGCCAATATGTCACAATTATTTTCATATTAAATTTTTAAAAGAAAAATATTTTAAATGCATAGTAAAATAGGGGTTCCAGGTGATATAGTAGAACCCTATGGTTTTTAAACTTTAGTGTTTTTTAATCGGTCATGGTATATTTTTTGTTTAAATTTAGGTTTTCTAGAGAAATTTCGATTTTCAAGTGAAAATATCGATTTGCTTATGAGTAATAAGTTATGACATTTATATTTTCTAGAGAAATTTCCATTTTCTTGTAAAAAATCGATTTATTAGTAAAATTTCTTTCGATTTTCTTGTAAAATATTGTTTTATTTTTAGTGTAATTGCAATTTTTAAATGAAATTTGGATTTAATAGTAAGAAAATTCCGAAAAAAATCTCTTAAATAATAGAAATTATTGAAAGATTAATGAAGTTTCAAAAAAAATCGTTAAAACAAATGTTTTTTTTTTTTCAAATAGTGTGTGGAAATTTTTCAAGGTCGCTTGTTTCTTAAGTCTTTCGTTATCGCTTAATAGAACAAAATGGAAACGTAGAAGAATAGAACAAAATATAAGAATAGATAAAAATATGCATTAAATTGTTTTAATAATACATTATTTCAATATGATTCTTAATAAAATGCATTAAATTAAAAATGTGTTCTTTTTTATATTAATATTTGTTGATTAGTTTTGGTTGCTTTTTTTTATTTTAAATATATATTGCTTAATTTGTTGTTAATGTTGTTATTGTATTAGAGTGTCTCTTCAATATAATCAAGTATTTATTTTTTTTAAATCCGGCTGGCACAACCTAGCACCAACACCACCAGTCAACCAACCAACCACCAACAACAAATTCTAATATGTTAAACTTAAGATAACTAAACATTAAAAAAAGATCTTCTTTTTCATTATTTAATAAAAATAAAAATTTAGAATGTTCATATAGTGTTATTGTTTTATTAATGCTGTTTTTTTCTTTTTTCAAGAAACCAAAAGCTCAGCATTTGACGTTAAAGAAGCGTTATTTTTAAAAAGTTGTTTTTTAACTTTTTCTTTTTTTTTTGTTTGTTACGATAACGATTGATGGCTCTTTAATGATTTTAAAGAACTATTAATGATTCAAGAGGGCTTTTTTATTAAGACATTGGAAAAATCCTTTTAAAGTTCATTCACATTTGGAAGTTACGTTGAAGAAGAAATCAATTTAAAATTTTGTTTACATTCGCATAAATAAATTAAAGATTTTAAATGTTGGTCGCTAAATTTTACGTTTCTGCTGAATAATTTTTAAATGTTGGTCACTAAATTTAAGTTTCAGCTGATTAAATTTTTTTTAACTTTAGAGTGCATAGATTGAGACATCTGCTTACAAACCCAGTAGTTTTATATGACGCCAATGTGTACCTTTAAAGCAGAGTACTCGTACATTTAAGAATAAAGAGAGAGCGCATAGTAGGTCGATAGATAGATAGGATAGAGATAGATAGATAGATAGATAGATAGATAGATAGATAGAGATAGATATATAGCTAGATAGATAGCTAGATAGATGATAGATAGATAGATAGATAGATAGATAGATAGATAGATAGATAGATAGATAGATTGATAGATAGATAGATAGATCGATAGATGTATAGATAGATAGATAGATAGATAGATAGATAGATATGATAGATAGATAGTTAGATAGCTAGAATAGATAGATAGATAGATAGATAGATAGATAGATAGATAGATAGATAGATAGTAGATAGATAGATGATAGATAGATAGATAGATAGATAGATAGATAGATAGATAGATATATAGATAGATAGATAGATAGATAGCTAGCTAGATGTAGTAGCTATAGATAGCTAGATAGATAGATAGATAGATAGATAGATCGCTAGATAGCTCGCTCGCTAGATAGATCGATCGCTAGCTAGATCGCTCGTCGCTCTGATAGCTCGCTCGCTCGCTCGCTCGCTCGCTCGCTCGCTCGATGCTCGCTCGCTGCTCGCTCGCTCGCTCGCTGCTCGCTCGCTCGCTGCTGTCGTCCTACTCTCTCTCCTTGCTTCTTTCTCTCGTCGTCGTCTCCCCGCCATCCTTGTCCCTTTCCCATTCTCTCCGTAATCAAAAGTTATGTCATTTTAAGTCTTATCTGAACGTACTTCAGAAAGTTGTTTTTAAACTACCAAGCAATCTTTTGCATAGCCAATTGTAACACAAATGAAGTTCGTTTGTGATCTCATTTATATGATCACCAGATCGTTACATCGTTTCACAGTCACCCCGAACTGTTGGAATATTATTATGCAGAAAAGGAAAAATTATGTTTATGCATATTAATTTTA